AGACCAGCCTGGCCAACATGGTATAATCCCGTCTCTACTAAAAATATAAAAATTAGCCAGGCATGGTGGTGCTCCACTGTAATCTCAGCTACTTGGGAGGCTGAGGCAGGAGAACTGTTTGAGCCCAGGAGGTGGAGGCTGCAGTGAGGTGAGATCACGCCACTGCACTCCAGCCTAGGTGACAGAGGGGAACTCTGTCTCCAAAAAAAAAAAAAGAGTATTACATAAACATTGAAACTGTTCATAGCCTTTTAATAATATGAGAAATGTTTGTAATATAAAGTTAAATGAAAAGGGCAGAATATAAAACAATACATATTATGATTTTTTCTTTTGGCCCAGATGTAAGGGCTCAAATATGATCTTAAGTAAAAGAAAACAATGTGAAACACATATTCATGGAGAGAAATACTAGGAGGAAATACTCTAAAATGTTATCAGTGTTTACCTCTGGATGTGTATAGGTGATTTTTATGTTCTCTTTACACACTTCTGAGAGTTTCAATGTTTCTATAGTGAGCATGTATAATTTTTATAATCATAGAGAAAAAATTAGAACACAATAAAATTATAGTTTCTTCAAAAAGATACAGCAGGCTGGGTGCGGTGGCTCACACCTGTAATCCCAGCACTTTGGGAGGTGAGGCGGGTAGATCATTTGAGTTCAGGAGTTCGAGAACAGCCTGACCAACGTGGTGAAACTCCATCACTACTAAAAATACAAAAACATTAGCTGGGCATGGTGGCACATGCCTGTAATCCCAGCTACGCAGGAGGCTGAAGCAGGAGAATTGCTTGAATCCAGGAGGCGGAGGTTGCAGTGAGCCGAGATCAAGCCACTGCACTCAAATATGATCTTTTATTTAAGATCATATTTACTTAAGATCATATTTGAGCCCTTACATCTACACTCCAGCCTGGGCAACACAGCGAGACTCCGTCTCAAAAAAAAAAAGATACAGCAGTATTTAAAATGTATGGAAGGATGACTAGGTGCAGTGGCTCACACCTGTAATTCCAGCACTTTGGGAGGCCGAGACAGGTGGATCACTTGAGGTCAGGAGTTCAAGACCAGCCTGGCCAACATGGTGAAACTCCATCTCTACTAAAAATGCGAAAATTAGTCAGGCATGGTGGCGCACGCGTGTAGTCCTAGCTACTCAGGAGGCTGACGCAGAAGAATTGCTTGAACCCGGGAGGCAGAGGTGGCAGTGAGCCGAGATCGTACCACTGCACTCCAGCCTGGGCAACAGAGCAAGACTCTGTCTCAAAAAACTAAAACTAAAACTAAAAATAAAATAAAGTGTATGGAAGGAGTCTGTCTGCATGCATAACAAATGCTTAGACTGTCATGTTTGGCGAAAACAGGAAAAAATTTTAAAGTAGATGGTATGATCATAACTATGTAAAAAGATATCCAGAGGAAAAAGACCAAAAGACAAAAGAAATGCCCACAACATAAACACTGGCAGGAAGAGTAATTTGCTTTCTTCTTATCCTTCTCTATAATTTTCTGTTTTTCTAAAAAGTACAAAATTTTTTTCTTTCTTAAGTATCAGTGGTTTTTTTTTTTTTATTTGAGACAGGGTTTCGTTCCTGTTGCCCAGGCTGGAGTGCAATGCCATGATCTCGACTCACCGCAACCTCCGCCTCCCGGGCTCAAGCAATTCTCCTGCCTCAGCCTCCAGAGTAGCTGGGATTACAGGCATGAGCTACCACACCTGGCTAATTTTGTTTTTGTTTTGTTTTGTTTTGTTTTCTGAGACAGAGTTTCACTCTTGTTGCCCAGGCTGGAGTGCAATGGCATGATCTCAGCTCACCACAACCTCTACCTTCTGGGTTCAAGCAATTCTCCTGCCTCAGCCTTCCAAGTAGCTGGGATTACAGGCATGCGCCACCACACCTGGCTGATTTTTTTTGTATTTTTAGTAGAGACCAAGTTTCTCCATGTTAGTCAGGCTGATCTCGAACTCCCGACCTCAGGTGATCTGCCCACCTCGGCCTCCCAAAGTGCTGGGATTACAGGCGTGAGCCACCACGCCCGGCCCTAATTTTGTATTTTTAGTAGAGACGGGGTTTCTCCATGTTGGTCAGGCTGGTCTTGAACTCTCAACCTCAGGTGATCCACCCGCCTCGGCCTCCCAAAGTGCTGGGATTACAGGTGTGAGCCACTGCGCCCAGCCGGTATCAGCGTTCTTATTGAAAGAAGTCATTATACCTGTCCTACATGAAACTACTTAGTTTCTATCAAGAATTAAATCACTAGACTGGCTTGAATCTGCAGCAATACTCAGCCAACATTCTGTAAAATTCTAACACAATTTGCTAGATCTCAAAGTAACTTCAAAGAGATGGCAGAAACTTTTCTCAAATGACTTTGTCAATTCTTAAGAACAGCTCAGTTCACCATTATCTGAGTACTTGTTAATACCTGGCCTTATGCTGAGAGTAGGTATAAAATAAGTAAAAAGAGACTCCTCCTCCAAGAAAGTCCCAGTTGAATAAAAGTCAAGAGGCTAACCGTGCCTGTTCAGGTAAAATTCAAGAGGGATTAAGACAAAATTAATCTCCTGAGAAAGAAACTACCAAAGTCACAGGACTTACTTAAACCACACTTTGAGTCCCAAAATAGTAAATTTATTCCCATAGCTCCAGCATAAACAAACTTAGCCACCAGAATTTCTACTTTCTAGTATCACACTAGGGCCCTGATTTATTGTGTTCTCTAACTGCAAACGACTGTTAGTAAAAAGTTACCACTTAGACTTTGCTATGCCAGCCACTCTACATAGATTATCTCTAATTTTTAGAACTATGAAACATTGAGGTTACTATTACCATTTTACAAACAAGAAAACTGAAACTCACAAAAGTTATTTGCTAAGAAAATCTGGAGGGTTTAAACTTTGGAACAATATAGTGTAACTGCTGGTCCTCTCTCAGCAAACTTGGGACATGACCAAAATGAGAGACACTCTAACCACACTTGGATTCTCCTGTTTAACTGTAGAAATCAAGAGCCTCCACTCCTTTCTCTAGTGGAGCAGTGGCACAGAGATTGCCGTGGAGATTCCATAGACAAGCCAGCTTTCTTGGCTGAGCCAAAAATTAAATGAGATTCTTAACAATATGACCTACTGATTCTACAACCACGATTACACTCCTAAACCCCATCGGGACTTCCCTGCCTTTAGGCACCTGTCTAATAAGTTGTTTCTTCTTTGCTGACTCTGGCATATTGTGAACGTGTTGAAACAGCTCTCTCAGTGCCTCTTCCGTATGCTGCTGGGTCTCCTCCTGGTGAGGGCAGGAATCTACCCGGTTACGTTTCTGAGACTTTGCCAGCTGAAAGGACTTAGTATGACATGAAGCTATCAGGTCAAGGTCATCCTAAGGAAAATTTAAAAGAAGAGTAAATTAATATATCCTGCCAAGTTTGTTTTGGGGTTCTTACAAAAACCTGGAATAAAAAAAGGGAGAGTGGTGACATGGTATACTCCTATACTCAGGAACAAGAAAAATCTTAACACTATTATCAGATAACAAGGAACCTATTAATATAGGTTATATTAATAGCCCACTCCCATGACCTGCCCAGAGAACCTAAGTGCATTTAGAATACTGCCACCAAGAGTTATATTTGTATAAGAGTCCAGTTTTTAAAGCATCTTTTAATTTCATTAATTTATTCAACAATTCAACAAGGTAAGCATGGAAAGTATCATTTTTCCCATCTGACAATGGAAAAACACTGAGGTTAAACTGTAAGTTTAAAGTCATCTGGATACTAAAGTCACAGATCCACCTGGGAGCCCAAGGGCTCTGACTCTTGGCTAATACTCATTCCCACATGTGGCAACTTCATATGACAACTAGACAGCAGTGCTAGAGGAACAAAAACAGCTCTCTAACAAAAAACCACACTCCATTTAAACTAGTTGAAACCAAATACTGTTTTCCTGGTAACACTGAATATTTGCTGAATAAGAGGGAGAAACAAATAGGAGCAGAAAAAATAGCACAAGTGGACAACTTAAGTTTCTAACCATGACAGGATGAATAGAACTTGAAAAATTTAAGTACTCAAAAAGTGCTTGTAAAGTTTTTAACTTCTGACTTTTTTTTTTTTTTTTTTTTTTCAAAGCAGGAGTGCAAGTTTATTTAAAAAGGCTTAGAACAGGAAAGAAAGGAAAGTATGCTTGGAAAAGACCCAAGCAGGCACATAAAGATCAAGTGCCTAACTTCTCACTTTTTTTATTTTTTTGAGATGGTGTCTCACTCTGTCACCCAGACTGGAGTACAGTGTCACCATCTTGGCTTACTGCAACCTCCACCTCCTGGGCTCAAGTGATCCGCCCACCTCAGCCTCCCAAGTAGCTGAGACTACAGGTGCGTGCCACCACACCTGGCTAATTTTTCGCATTTTTGGCAGAGACGGGGTTTGGCCCTGTTACCCAAGGTGGTCTCAAACTCCTGATCTCAAGTGATCCGCCTGCCTCGGCCTCTGAAAGTGCTAGGATTACAGGCATGAGTCACCACACCCGGCCATAACTTCTTACTTTTAAAACTCAATAATCGTATCTAGGCTGGATGTGGTGGATCACGCCTGTAATCCCAGCACTTTGGGAGGCTGAGGCAGCCGGACCACTTAAGCCCAGGAGTTTGAGACCTGGGCAACATGGTGAAACCCTGTCTCCACCAAAAATACAAAAATTAGTGGGCCTGGTGGTGCATGCCTATAGTCCCAGCTACTCAGGAGGTTGACATGAGAGGACCAGGGAGCCGAGATCATGCCACTGCACTCCAGCTTACCCGACAGAGTGAAACCCTGTCACAAAAAAAAAAAAAAAAAAAAAAAAAAATTATCATATCTAATCTTGTGAATAAGCATTATACATTTCCCTATCTATCTAAGCTCATGTGGTCTCAAGTATTTTAGCCATTTGATAGAGTTTTACCATACCAATGAACCTAAAATAGGAATGAATTATATAAAATTGATAAAATTGTCCTTTCATTCCTATAAAATGTTTAACACATTTGCTATTCACAGATTATTTATATCAGAAGGACTTTATGAAAAACCTTGAAACACAGGGTCTGTGTCATCACTCTTGCACAGAGGACACCATCTATCAGTAGAGAGCCTCTGAAAGCAAATAAAAATAGTGTGTAGGGGGGACTTTTTTTTTCCAAGAGACAGGGTCTCACTGTGTTACCCAGGTTGGAATGCAGTGGCACGATCAGCTCACTGTAGACCTGAATTCTCCCATCTCAGCCTCCAGAGTCACTGGGATTACAGGCCTGAGCTACCACACCTCACATGTGGAGCATTTGTATTCTAATACATAACTTACTTCTTAGTCTTCTCCATTATGGCAAAATGACTAAGTAATTTTGAGCTATAATACTAAAAACTTATTTTCCAAGCTTTTACTTTGACTTCATACTTCACCAATCTTAATGTTCTCCTTGCTTGGGTTAAGAGCAGATTCCTATTCTTACCTTTGATGCCTGAGTTCTGGATCCCAAATAGTGCAATCTGGCACATTCCCGAATGTAAGCAGGAGCCTGGGCAGGACATAAAAGAAAATCAAAACCCAGTGATTACTAGGATATAACATTCTCTCAGGCCACAAGGACAGTGGTTCTCAAAATCATGTGACCAGCAGATTACTTTAGAAAAGCCAAAGATCCTCAAAATTCATAGCCCCTCCATAGCTTCCTTTATCTTGCCACCAAATAGATACCTCAACAAATCTGATGGAAAAACCATGAGAAGACACCAATGTAGTTGTTGCCACTTTAAAAATCAAACATGGCATGTATATATTCAAATAAGCCAAAGACAAAAATATAGACATTTGTAGGAATATTTCTATCTGACAAAAACCACCCCCTCAAATCCTTACAAATTACAAGTGGTCTCCAGATCACATTTTAAAATCACAGTGTAGAAAATTCATTTAACGTCTGTAATCTCAGCACTTTGGCAGGCAGAAGCAGGAGGATCACTTCACTCCAGGAGTTTGAGACCAGCCTGGGCAACACAGGGAGACCCCCGTCTCTACAAAAAATTACTAAAAAATGGCCAAGCACGGTGGCTCATGCCTGTAATCCCAGCACTATGGGAGGCCGAGATGGGAGGATCACCTGAGGTCAGGAGTTTGAGACCAGCCTGACCAACATGGTGAAACCCTATCTCTACTAAAAATACAAAATTAGCTGAGCGTGGTGGCGTATGCCTGTAATCGCAGCTACTCAGGAGGCTGAGGCAGGAGAATTGCTTGAACCCAGGAGACAAAAGGTTGCAGTGAGCCAAGATCTCACCATTGCACTCCAGCCTGGGCAACAAGAGCAAAACTCTGTCTCAAAAAAAAAAATTACAAAAAAATTACTCGGGCATGGTGGTGCATGCCTGTGGTCCCAGCTACTCAGGAGACTAACGGTGAGAATCACTTGAGCCCAGAAGTTCAAGGCTGCAGTGAGCCATGTTCATACCACTGCACTCCAGCCTGGGCAACAGAGCAAGACCCTGTCTCAAAAAAGAAAGAAAGAAAGAAATACCATTTAGAATTACTATGGAGTAGAATCCTGTGACAACTACCCTGATACTGTCTTAGTAGATGTACAAAATAATACAATTACCATAGAGGAAAACTGGGTATGTAACATCTAATAAAATTACATTTGCATTTACCTTTTCACCCAGAAACCTCACTTCTGGTAACATATCCTGAGTATGTAACTCCAGAAATGCAAAACACACTTGTATAAGATTAATCAAGAAATTGGATACAACCCGAATGTTCTTTAACAGAGAAATGATTGAATCAACTTTCATACATCCATACAATACAGCACTATGAAGAAAGGAAGGGAGAGGAGACAGGGAGGGAAAGAAAGGAAGGAACAGAGAGAAAGAAAGGAAAGGAAAGGAAAGGAGAGAGAAAAAGGAAGGACAGAGGGAAGGAAGAAACACTTAATGAATTGATATGGAAGGATTTCTAGGATATACTGTTGAGTGAGAAAAGTAAGTAAATGTACATTTGTGTAAGAAAAAAATGGGAAATAGTAATATACACACAAATATACATTTACTTGTTTTTATAAAAAGAAACACTAAGAGGATAACCCAGAAAACAATGAAAAGAATTAGAAAGGATTGAGATTTCTCTAAGTCTATCTTTTAATGTGGTTTTGACTTTTTTTTTTTTTTTTGAGATGGAGTCTCATTCTCTCGCCCAGGCTGGAGTGCAATGGCACGATCTCGGCTCACTGCAACCTCCACCTCCCAGGTTCCAGTGATTCTTCTGCCTCAGCCGCCCAAGGAGCTGGGATCACAGGCACCCACCATCATGCCCAGCTAATTTTTGTACTTTTGTAGAGATGGGGTTTCACCACGTTGGCCAGGCTGGTCTCAAACTCCTGACCTCAGGTGATCCGCCTGCTTCGGCCTCCCAAAGTGCTGGGATTACAGGCCTAAGCCACAGCGACTTTTGAACCATGTTTACACTACAGGTTCATAACATAAAATTAAATCCAAAAGGAAAAAAAAAGACAAGCCCTAAAACCAAACACCCAACAGGGAAAAAAAAGAACATATCTGTATATTAAACTGACAATGTGAGCACAGAGAAAGAAATTATTTCATATAACTTTTGAAAACTGTATTCTCAGCTGGGCGTGGTGGCTCACGCCTGTAATCCCAGCACTTTGGGAGGCCGAGGCAGGCGGATCACGAGGTCAGGAGATCGAGACCATCCTGGCTAACAGGGTGAAACGCCGTCTGTACTAAAAATACAAAAAATTAGCCGGGCGTGGCGGCGGGCGGCTGTAGTCCCAGCTACTCAGAAAGCTGAGGCAGGAAAATGGCGTGAACCCGGGAGGCGGAGCTTGCAGTGAGCAGAGATCGCATCACTGCCCTCCAGCCTGGGTGACTATATATCCTTAGTGGGATATATTCAAGGAAAAAGGAATTGCAAGAAAATCTTGAACTTCAATCAGCAAGTTTATATAGGCTTACTGTCAGTAGTGACAGTTGTATTATTTTGAAATTAATTTAAGCTTATTGTAGGACAGAGTAAATAACATATACAAATGCCATTAAAATCTAAAATTTGGCCGGGCACAGAGGATCATGCCTGTATCACAGCACTTTGGGAGGCCAAAGAGGGTAGATCACTTGAGCTCAGGAGTTTGAGACCAGCCTGGACAACATGGTGAAACTCCATCTCTACAAAAAATACAAAAATTAGCCGGGTGTGGTGGCGCTCACCTGTGGACCCAGCTACTTGAAAGGCTGAGGTGGGAGGATCGACTGGTCCCAGGAGGCAGAGGCTGCTGTAAACCCAGATTGTGCTACTGCACTCCAGCCTGGGTGACAGAGCAAAACTCTCCAAAAAAAGAAAAAAAAAATCTGAAATTTGCAATATAAGAAAAAAAGAAATACAAATACAAAACAAAAGAAGCCAAGAAAACGTTCTGTAGTATTAAATCTGAATTGGTGGTATTAATATGAACTTACAATTGCTTTTAAAAAAATGTTTAATCTATTTCTTTGCCCTCAAGCAGCCTAGAAGCAATGATACACCAGAAACAATGAGTATACCTAGTGTCACTCAGAAGCCAAAGTTCCCTGGTGAAATAATTACTCCAGATCTAGGCCAGCACAAGTACGAAGCGAGCTGGGAACATTTTATACCAGAAAGGAAACACTCAAAGACAATACAGTCCTGTCAAAAAGATGGAGAAGTCAGTTAACAAGGGCTATCACTGGCCAAATCTGGGATAATTTAAATATCAATTTTGTTTGTTTGTTTGTGACAGGGTCTCACTGTCACCCAGGCTGGAGTGCAGTGGCATAATCTTGACTCAGTGCAACCTCCACCTCCCGGGCTCAAGTCATCCTACCACCTTAGCCTCTGAGTAGCTGGGACCGCAGGAGCATGCCATCACACCCAGCTAATATTTGTATTTTTCGTAGAGATGGGGTTTCACCACATTGCCCAAGAGAATATCAACATTATAAATAAAATTGACTAACACTTCGGAAAAATAAAAATCCATGAGTTTATATTAATATTCATTTTTAAAAGGAGAGAGAATGAGACAAAGAAAAGCTATGTTCCAAAGAAGAAAGTCAGCTAATAAAGACTGAATGACAAAATTAGAAAATCATCATTTTTAATACCCAATGTAATCATAGATTCCAGCAGGATTATCAATGGATGCTAAAACCATTATTAGGTAATCACTCTACAGGTTATTTACTAATTGCAAAGGGGAAAAAATGTACCTTTATAACTGAAAGATCCAGCAGTTAGCAAAACTAACATCGTGAAGAGCAAGAAAATCAATCTGTGCCTCCTCATGTGAGGCAACGTGACGCACACAAACATCACCTGTGAAGTAACTTTGCCGAAAATGCTTAATCTGAATCTGATTAAGACTCTAGACCTAGCTTCTAGTTTACAGGAACTGCATGGAAGGTGATAGAGGAACAAGTTAAATAACTTGAGAAAACAATAAGACGAATTTAGAATGTGCGACGTTCTACAACACAGTTAACTTGATGCTTCAACAAATGACATGAAGAAAAAGCATGAGTGTGCAGCTTAAAAGTGTCATAATAATTAAAACCAATACAGAAACGTTGATTGGCATATATTGAAAACAAGTATGAAATACATTCTTAGGACAGCTGGGGAATTTGAATATGTACTGAAAGTGAGATGGTAAGAAATTGTTAGTTTCTTAGATGTGATAATAGTAGTGTGATAAGATAATGTTTTTATTATTAGGAGATGCTTACTTAAGTACTTAGGAATGAAGCATGATGTCGTCTGCAATTACTTTTAGTGATTCAGCCAAAAAAAGGTAGGAACATATATAAAGAGAAATAAAGCTAATATGGCAAAATGATAACATCTGTTGACAGTGGGGGAGAGTTACACGAGTATTCACTGTTTTACTCTTTAACTTTTCTCTATATTTGAAATTTTTCAAAATAAAGGTTTTTTCAAAGAGTCTCGTGACAAAAACATTATGATACGTATAGTTTAATTTCTTTTTTTTTTTTTTCTTTTTTTTTTTGAGATGGAGTCTTGCTCTGTCGCCACGCTGGAGTGCAGTGGTGCAATCTCGGCTCACCGCAACCTCCGCCTCCTGGCTTCAACTGATTCTCCTGCCTCAGTCTCCCGACTGTCTGGGACTACAGGCGCCCGCTACCATCCCCAGCTAATTTCTGTATTTTTAGTAGAGATGGGGTTTCACCATGTTGTCCAGGCTGGTCTTGAACTCCTGACCTCAGGTGATCCACCTGCCTCGGCCTCCCAAAGTGCTGGGATTATAGGCGTGAGCCACCACGCCCGGCCAGTTTAATTTCTAAATTGAAAAACTATAAAACAGAGCTTAAGACCAACAGAAATTTTCTCCAAACAAGAATATATAAGGACCCATGACATCTATTCTGTAAACTTCATTTTAAAAAAAGAAAGCGCAGTGGCTCATGCCTGTAATCCCATCACTTTTGGAGGCCAAGGCAGGAGAAATACTTGAGCCCAGGAGTT